CCGGCCCACCACCACAGCTTGGCCCAAGGGAACCGAGCTGGCAGCAGAGCCTCTCCAGCCCAGCGACGGGATGCCCGTAGATAAGATGGAAGATGCCAGCTGCGAGAACAGGCAGTGCCAGCTGCTGCGGTGTGGCCAAGGGGTTTTTTTTCAGAGCAGCAGATTTTCAGAGCAGCAGCCTTCCTGTGTTACAGGGGAACTTCCCCATTGCCAGGGGCCAGGGGGACGGGTCTCCTCCCTCCCCTGTTTTAGCAGATGTGGATTCTCAGCCTTCACTAGTTCACCTCAGCCTGGGTGTCCTGGCTCCTCAAGAAGCCTGAGAGCTGTATCTCACCCTGCTCTGTGGTCCCAGGTCCCAATCCTCCGCACACCCCTCCAGGGCTTTGGTGAGTGGGAGACGAGGATGTAGAGCATCCTTTTGCATCTTTTGTGGAGCCAGGCTGAGAGAAAGCCTCCCAGCACCCTGGGAGGTGGGGTCAGGGAGTACCAGGAGCTGTGGAGATCTGGTTCAAGCCCGGACCGAGGCTGGCTGGTCAACAGGGCAAAATATTGTTACTCCCCATCCGTATGGATGTAGAGTCTCCAGTGGGGTTGGCCCAGTACTGGTGGTGTGGCAGTCACTCAGAGCAGGACGGGCTGTCTGCTGTCCCCAGCAGAGAGCTCCCAGAACAGGCCTGCGCCTCCCGGCTGGAAGCAGCCGTGCTGGTGACGGGCCCCGTCCTGGGGCTGGCAGTGCCCCGCCGGGCAGGGCTGCGAACCACGCCAGGCAGCCATCGCGACGGGCAAAACAGCAGCTTCGTGGGCCAGCACACGCTTGGAGAAATTCCTGGCAGGGGACCACCCTGCTCCTCCCCAGCTCTTGGCAGCGCAGACGTTGCCATCAACAATCAGGGATGTGGTTGACACTGGACAAGACCGTAGCTGAGCACTGTGGCAGGATCCCTGTGCCGGGAGCAGCTTGGCCGGGCACTGTTCCACCACTATCACACACTGGAGCACAGAGGATGCGTTGCTTTCCTCACGCTATTTATTTAATACTTTTCTCATCAGAATTAAATGATTAGGGTGTCTTGGGTTTTTTTTGTTTTTTTTTTTTTAAATTCTTTCTTCCTCCTGGATGATTTTGCTGGTGGCCCTGGAGGCTCTCCAGGCCAGTTGCTGCTGCAGTCTCCACTGTTCTCTCCTTAGCGTTACTCTGGGCTGCAAGAGCCAGCTCTGTGCAGGTGTAGGATTTCCGTCCATGGTGGGAGCGGCCAGGAGGAGCCATACAAAGCGCTGGGTATGGAAAGGGCACAAGCGCCTCTTGCTTATTCTCTCTTTTTAATTTAATTTTTAAATTAAAGCTTTTTTATTCTTTTTCACATCCTTGTTAGAACTGCCTGGTTATTAATTTTTTTTCTGCTGCAAGCCTGTACGTGTCCCCTGGAGGGAAAGCAGCGGGAGGAGAGCAACACAGGGGTAGCCTGAGCCTCGGCTGGGGAAAAGCATCGCTGGGCTTGCTCTGCCTGGCGC